TTTCTGGAAGACATTTCAACAATGAATAGCAAAGTATTAGAGTTGTCTGACACTTTTTGTCCCAGAGGATCCACTTCCAGAAGTTTGTCCTGTGGGTGGAAAACACGCCCCAGCATGCTGACCGTGCCAGGAACGCATTTCACGGGGAAGCAAGTTCAGCAACAGGTCTGTGGCCCTGAAATTCACCAGTCTCCCCGTGGGCCCAGCACTGACAGCAGCTGGCATGATGCTCTAGAAGGATACGGGAGGAGAGGGACCAAGAGTGGGTTCTGAGGGCCACTGGGAGGCAAGGAGACAGGAAGTGCTGAGGAGATGAGAATATATGGAGGAGGGGACAGAGCCAGAGGTCTGTTACTGGGTCCTGACTCTACAGCCAGTGGTGAATTGTCTAGTGAGGTCTTTGGACTGTTGATGCATTAGGAACTTTCCTTCTTCTGACCAGAATGGCAGGACACGCATCTCTGACCAAACAGGTACCTGAGCCACAGAGATGCCTTTAGGTGTAGAAGGGGCAGGTGATGAGACCACTGGCACCAGGATGCCGTAATCATCCTGGCACTGCAGAGACACAAAGAACCAAGCCATGACCTGCCGCGTCTTACCTTCTGTACCCCGGACTCCTTCCTTCCGTCTCCCTTCTTGCTGTCGATCGGTAAGCACGCCCTCAAAATCTGAGCCTGCCTTGGGGTTCTGCCGGCCCTCTTCTCAGCCCATTCTGTACCCTGTATCAGGAGATCCCAGCCACTGCAGGACTCCCACATCAAACCTCCTGCAAGGACTGCCAGCTCTGGGTTTCTTCTTCTCTCAATTCCAGACCTCATTTCCACTGAACTACTATTCATCTTTATTTCCAATCTTATCGACACCTCAGACTTCTGGCAACGTGCGCTCTTCATCTTTCCTTCTTTCTCCCCCCAAACTGTTCTGCCCTTGTGTCTCTTTTCACTTGATGGCACCACCATCCAAACGGGCAATGGCACCATCAAACTTGCAGTAGCCCCTGACTCTCTGAGCGCCCTTTCTTCACCTAGCAGCCACTGCACATACGCTCCTTGCCACCTCACCCATGTTTTTCATTCAGTCTGCGGAGCTCCAGCATTCATTACCCCCCTCCTGGATTCCAGCAACACCTTCTTATGACTAAATAGCCTCCCTTTCCCTGATGACCCTTGTTCTGTTCTGCTCTGCACACTGACACCCAAATGATAGGCCTGAAAAGCGAATGGCATGTCTGGAGTCCACCAACCCAGGGTTCCTTGCTTTGGGCCACGTGTCCCCTCATCTTTGGCCACTTACATCGTCACCTCTCTTCTCCAGTCAAGTCAGAATATGCATTCTCCCGATTTGGCCACAGCCGTGATCTTGAACACTTCTGCTCCTGTGCTCTTCCCGATCCTTTAAACCGCCACCTCTCTCCCCGGGGGGCCACAGCAGCTCTCCTGAGACCCGCATTTCAGCCTGGTGCATGCTTTCCTGACAGACTGGCCTGGGGTAGTCAACCAAATCTTCAGGACCGCTTGCCAGTTCCTCTGTCAGAGCATCGCCCTCACTGTGCTTTCTGGCAAAACCAGTGAGTGGACAGGAGAGTTTACGGAATCCGCAAGGGGAAGTATTTCTGGGGAATCTCCCAGTGAATAGTACTGTTTCAGGATCTCCTTGTGTGCTTATTGAATCTTCGTATGTGTTGTGCTATATACTGAGCTAGGTTGCAACAGGAAAAAATAAACTAGTCAGCTGATGAATTGGAAACTAGTGGCAAACGTTTGAGAATGAGACATAGACCCAAATAAGTTGTATAAGACTTAATCCATCCATGAACAGAGACGTTAGCATAGAGGACAGTAACAAAGTGTGGAATAAAGAATTGGCAAACTGGACAATGTGTGGTAAGATGTAGATTATGTGATATGAATGGTCAGCAGGGAAGGAATTCGAGAAAGCAAATTAGTGTCAGCTGGGACAGCGTGGGGACGTCTCCAGAAAGGAGGTGACATTTGACCAGAGGCACGCATGATGATAATAAGATGTCAGACTTGACTTGAAAGCTTCGTGTGTGCCAGTCCCTACTGTAAATCCTTTGCAGTAACTCACTGAGTGTCACGGCAGCCCGGCGACATGGTTCTTACTGGTATCCTCACTCTGCTGATTAGGAAACGGAGACACAGAAAGCAATGAAGGATATTCAGCTGGTGAGAGGAATAGCTGTGATATGGACCAAGCAGCACACCTCCAGCCCTACGCTGAACCGCTATCCACAGCGCACGGTAGGTAAGGGGTACGTGATTATTTTCTGCAGACAGGCCACGGTTGTGGAACGAAGTATGGATGAGTCCAGAACGAGCTGTGACCACTGATCGAGGAGACACTGGTGATCCAAGACAGGACCCGTGGGGTGTTGGTCATCGTATGCCGGGTATTAAGAGGGTTGAGCACGTATCCATCTGCTGAGGCCAGTCAGAGAGACAAGCTTCAAGGACCCGGCACATCCTGGGACAGGATTCACATCAAAAGCCCCAGTCTTCCTTCTCTCCCCTCCCCATAGGGACTGAGTTGCCTGATGCGCCACTTCACTGATTGCTGGACCAGGCCTGCAACAACTCTCCTGCCCTCTGGATCCTCGTCAGAGTCTTATCCCACAACCTCAGCTCTGGAAGAGCTCACCCAGGAGCTATCTCGGAAGTTGCAAATGAGCAGCCAGACTCTAATGGAGAAGACACCCGTCTGGGCCAATGGCTGTGTCCTTAGCACTGCCCAGTGTCTGGCTGCCTGTTTCCACTGTGTTAGTTTCCTCACCCATAGGTTGGAACTACTTTTAATTTATTTGATTTTGCTCTTTCTTCCAAGTTCTGTTTGAAGACTATGATGCTATCTCTGACAGCTGCGGCTGACTGTGATGTTCCACGCTTATTAGTCAGAGGTATTGAAAGAAACAGAGCCAATAAGAGATATTTTCTATATACATATGTGTGTGTGAGTGTGTGTATATATATATACACATATATACATATACACATACATACATACATATAAAGGAGATTTATCCTGAGGAAATTGGTTCATCTATTTATGGAGGCTACGTTCCACGATCTCCTGTCTGCAAGCTGTAACGTCAAGAAAGCCAGAGGGGTAATGCAGTCCAAGTCTGAAGGCTTGAGAACCAGGGGGGCCGATGGGGTGACTCCCAGTCCAAGAGCAGGAGAGGATGAGGAGAAATGTTCCACCTCAAGCAGTGACACAGGCGGAAAGGGGCCAAATCTTCCTTCCTCTCTCTCTTGTTCTGTTCAGGCCCTCAGTGGGTTGGATGATGCCTGCCCACCCACACTGGGGAAGGCCCTCTACTTTACTGAGTCACCAATGCAAATGCTAATCTCATGCAGAAACAGGCTCACAGATACAACCAGAAATGATGTTTAATCTGGGCAGCCCATGACCAGTCAAGTTGACACACAAAAAAGTAACCATCACGGTGGGCAGGGCAATGTCATGAACTACTGCGTGACCATGTGCACACAACGACGCCTCACAACCCGCCCCCCCCACCCCCACATATGACCTTTCCCGTGGGCAGGACAGTGCTGGCATTAGATCATCCTTCCGACGAGCCTGGGCACTGTGACTGTGCAGGCCAACTGACCTGACCTGGTGGCTGTGTGGTCTACCCACCTCAGCGGAGTGGAGATGAGTTAAGCACCCAAGGTAGTCAGCCCTAGGGGAGTGGCAGCTTCCTGTCTGCAAGATCCACGAATGGAAGGCAGCTGCAGAAATCTCTCAGCAGACGGCCTCCTGGAAAGAAGTGGCTTCATCTCACTTTGCATGATCATGGAGCTTAGGGACCTTTGCTGCAGAGACATGAAGTCCCCGTATCTTTCTTCTGTAGCAACAGGAGGAAAAACTCTTTTGGGGCGAGGAGTGGGAAAGAGCCAGGGAACTGATTATGCCTGGGCCTTGAAGGGAGGGCAAGAGTTCCACAGACAGAAAGTTGTGAAACGATATAAAAATCCTGAAAAAGGTGGCTGGCAGCTCTTTGGATCCATCGCTAGGACCAATCCTGGGAGGCTGCCATGCATTACTTTGTCCTCGGTTTTCCCTGACCTCCCCCAAGGGAGGGAAAAGATACGTGCAAAGGCTTCAGAAGTAGAGCCAGGCGTTGAAGGATGGACACAGATGTAGAAAGAGAACAGTGTGAGCAATGATTTCAGTGCTTTGGCTGGGCCTTGAGAAATGGGCATGTCCAGCAGAACACCTGGGGGAATGGACAACCTCGCCGTCAATCATTGCAGGCCCACCAATCACGATGGCGGGGGCGGGGCCGTAGGACGTCCACGACGCCTTACCACGTAACGACGCTCGCGACCCTGGACTGTACGGCGCGGCTTCCGTGGACCGTTCGTCCGCGTGATGAGGGGACATGGCGGCTCCCTTTCCAGTGACCTCAAAAGTGTAAGTTTCACTGATTTCACTTCGTAGTGGGCTGTCCGTCGTGTGATTCGGAGAGAATCGGGTAGCTGGTGTGTCCGGATACACTTCGGCAGACGTGCGTCCCGGGCTCCTGGGCGGTTGGCGGAGAAGGCCTCCTAGCCGCGTTCGGCCGCAGAGCCGGGCTTTCTGTGCCAACGTGGTGAAAGGTTCAGAACCTGTTCTCTGCTTAAACGCGGGTCTTGGACCGCCCCCTCCCCCAGCTCGTGGGCTTAACGCTTTGTGGTGTTCGCGGCGTAAAGGGTGGAGAGGGCTGGCGCGGCTGGCCGGGTCGGGGTGAGGGTGGGTGTGGGTCCGGCCCAGCGCGGTGGCCGTTGGGCGCCGCGAGCCGCTTTTGCCTTTTGCTGCCCGGGGTCGTTGGGTGGATGGCGTCGCCGGGGGTTTCTCTGCGTCTTGGTCTTGGCCGTTTTCGCGAGATTTCTTACCAGTGACAGGCTGCCTTTGAGCGCGGTTTTGTGTTTCATTTAACCACACGGCTTTAAGGTTAATAGCATTTGTTGGTTGAATTTCGGAATGGTCGTCTTCATGTGTTGCCTGAAAAAGAAAAACAATGATGAGAATTTCAACGTGAAAATGAGTAAACAGATGGCCTGGTCCTTAGTCCTGTTCCTCGGTTCCCTGCGGGTGCTGCGGTTACAGACACATTGACTTTATTAGAATGTCAGCTTTCAGAATAGCCTGATCTTGACAGTTTCCCATCAAAGTTTGGATCTGACTTTTTGTTGTGGTTGGAAACTCTTGCAGCGGCAGGCAGCAGCAAGGTGGCCTGGATGGGACTGTGGGAAATAGACTTCCAGGCTGTGGACACTGTGGAGCTCAGATGCCTCTTCCCCTAGAATGACAACATGGACCGGAAGGTAATTTAAAGCATTTCTATCTATGAAAAAGGGTAAAGATGGGACCTGTGGACCACATGGGTGGTGGGAAATGGTGGCCTGCCAGAGCACGCCCACAGCAGCAGGGTGGACATTTCTCTGGGAGGGATCCTGGAAACACAGGATACAATGAAAGTAATGCAAAGGTCATTGCTTCTTCAGATGTTCACCCTGCCATGCGTTCTTGGCCATGCCTTTGCTTGCAGACTTGGCTGGGACCGCACATCCTGTTTGATCCACAGTCTGCAGTATCTGAGTCTTAAAGTTTCATAGCTCTTTCTCACTATCTTCTTTGAGCTTCGGTTTTCTCTTTTGCACAGCAGGATTCATACCATGGTGTCATGGATGTTGTGAGAATCAAGTGTGATGACCTCGGTTAAGGGCTTAGCCCACAGGTGGTGCTCAAGGAATCCCGACCCCATTTCCTGAGTCCGCATATTGGAGCCGAACACGCTGGTATTTGGTGTAACTCTTCTTACCCCTGCTTCCCACTCTTACCCAAGCGCTTTAGCCTTTGGCATCTTATCATTGAAATGGTTGTTTCCTTTCTCAGGGCCAGCAGGCTACCTTAGAAGTTACTCAAGGGTCTCCTCGGAAAGCACACCTCTTTAATCCAGCTGTGAAGCAGCAGGGACGCCCAGGACGCCAGGCTTTTCCTTCCTCTCAGCAACGTTCTGCTCTGATCAACTCGACACCTTACGCGGAGGCGGACGTGTGTCAACACCTGCACCTGTGAGGACTTTGTAGCGCGTGAACCCTTGCAGGCAGAGGGTGCCTGTAGCCTGGCAGTGCCAGAAAGGTCTTCACTTCTTTCCTTTTCTGTATAAATCACTTCTTTTCTGTGTGGTGTTGAATTTATCGAATTCCGGTGAAGACATTTGGTCATTCGAAGGGGCGCTTGTAGCAGGGGGTGGGCGTTAAACAGAAACATGCACTGTTCTGAAGTGTTCTCAAAGAGGCTTGTAACCCTCAGTCTCAGCAGCTAACTCTGGTTCCTCTACTTGCCTATTGGTACCAGTTTCAACCAGAACCTGGCATCATAGAAGCTGAAGTTCAGCCACCCAAGTTCAAAGTGCACGTTTCTTTATTGAGGAGAAGTGAGAGTGCCTAGGCTCTTCCCAGCACATGGGCATCTCCTGCTCTTTTGGTTTATCCCTGTAATGGGTTAAATTACTTTAAATCCTTGGAAGATGGGGGTCATGGTTCATTTCTCACTTAGTGAAAAACTGAAACAGATACTGTCTTTTTTCCTGCCTCAGGTTTATTTGTACAAACAGCACAGGTAGACATGAGCCCCATGCAGACAGTAGCCCAGGGGTCACACTAGTTCTTCTATCCTCACATCAATAGATGGAAGCCTCTACTGTGGAGCCTTTATGGCGGCCTGTGCGCCTTTGAGAGACTGAGTCTGAGCTGGAGCTGCGGCTGTGGCCTTGGTCTGAGCCTTGTCCTTGGCCTTTGGCCCTCAGAGCCTGAGACCCTTGGCGACGCGGGCACGAGCACGTTTCCCGAGCTTGGGGTGAGCAATGCAGGCAAGTCAGCTGAGCTCGCAGCTGCCGCCCTGTGGGATCTTAGGCTTGACCTCCTTGGGCTTTCTGAGAGCCTTGACAGCTTCAGCACGTGCACTCACGGCCTTGGCGTTGTTGGCCTGCATCTGCTTCAGGCCCTTCTTGTGCTTCTTGGCAAAGTGCATGTTCCTCAGGAGCTTGGGGTCCACCCCCTTAAGAGATTTGTATTGTTGTGATCGGGGTTTTTTGATGCCGTTTCTGTGCCATTTTCGGGGCTGGTTGTATGTGGTGTGGTTCTTCGACTTGGCCATGCTTGCACCAGAGCCGGGGCTGAAACATGTACTGTTCAGGAGAGGCTGTATCCTGACCCGTGTTCCTTCAGCAAGAGACATGACGGTGACCACACCTGGCTCATTTCCTAGTCAAAGCAGTTGTGAAACTGCCCAGTAACCATGGCGCCTCCACTTCCTTCCACACAGATTTGTGCCCGCTGCCGTCTGCGGTCTTCCTGAGTCTTCTCACTGGAGGGCCTAAATGCATTTTTTTCATTTTCATTTTCATTTTCATTTTGTAGCACCTCTATTGTGGTGCGGTTCCTGTACAGTAAAGTGCACATATTTCACATGTACGATGCGATGGGTCTTGCTAGATGTATCCACCGGAAATGAACTGTTTGGTGGGCGATTCTGCTGAGTATTAGCGTGTAGGAAGCGGTCACAAGGCGGGGCATCCCTAAGGGGCTTTTTCTGATTGGTGGCAACCGCAGGAATTGGGACCCTTGAGGAGGGAGGAGGCGATACTACCAAAGCTCATGCTGGGATGCTGGCTGCTTAGTTCTTTGCCCGGGAGCGCATTCCTAGGCCTGCCTTGTCCTGAGGCGTGTGCTCCACCAGCGTTTCCGCGCGTGTGGGAATGGTCATGTACCGTTGAGTTTTTAAGTGCGGTCTCCCCCGTCAGGCTCATGTTTGCCTTAGCTATTTCTTCATGCCCCTTGTTTCTGTGGGTGACAGGAACAGAATGGGTAATAGTGGACACTCGAAGGCAAGGCCTTTTGAAATGAGGTGTCTTCCCTGTTGTGCTGATTCCCTGTTACATGCAGACAGTAGTTGACTTGCGACAGCAGCAGGCATTTTGAGAGGCTC